TTTGACATGTGATTGAGTCCGTGCCAACGCTGTGTTTGCATCCATTTCTATGGGCTGTCTGCACGCATCTGCAAGGAGGATGTACACATGTCTACCAGCGGCTCTGCACGGAGGACATCACTAATATGCTGTCTGAATTAACCCTAAGAATGCTAGTTGCTTGACTGTCATGTGATGAGGGGCGGACTGACCATTCAGGCTGGAGGGCCCGGGGTCATTAGGGAGCCCTTTGATAGGCTTTTTTGGGTGTGGTTTGAGTGTGGGCAAAGACACAGGGACCCCATAATCCCCTATTGCCCGGGGGCCCCATAAGTTGTCAGTCCGACCCTGCATGTGATACTTTGGTTCGTGAGTATCTGGTACAAAAAAGTGTACACCAATACAAGTCATGAACATACTTGCTCTTGGAAAGTAAGTCAGAGAATATTGATGCCAGCCCAGCATGCCAGCCATTGAACTGCCGTTTTCAGTGGGAGGACAGCAACGCGAGCCTCCTACTTCTCTCAAGACAGGTATTCTGTAAAAACTGCTGTCCCAACCACCTTTACAGTCATAACTCTTTGTCAATTCTTCATTTTTACCTTTGAAAGTGGGTATAGACATATCACAGAAACATTACCTGAACCGTTTCAAGTTTTTCTCAGAAACCCTGATGAAGAGGATGATGGGAAAAATTTTAGCCTTGATTAGTTCTTTTGCACATTCCAGTCCAACATCCAGTAAGCAGTGTTTATTCTACAAATAAAAACAGACATTTGATTTGTTAATTAAATAAAATTACAAAATAGAATTAAAATACTGCAGAATGTCCTTGAGTGAACAGCCTTCCCATAACATTTAAACTAGGAAAAAAGTGTAGCTGATGCTTGTCAGAATTGACTGGATAAAGCTCACTGCAAATGATTATCATATTGCAGATGAACATGGTACTGAAGCTAGACTGCAGCTTATTCCTAGTAACTCCGTGCCTTTAAATAACTATGAAACCTGAAGTGCATAAGTATGTTGGATAATATGGTGGAGAGAGTTAACCAGTGGTCCCCAAGTATCTTTACTAGGAGGTGCGGTTACAAATGTAACAATACATAATGTACCTGGACCAGACGGAAGTTGGTAAAACTATTAATATGTTCTTGATAATAGCCCAGTGCAGAAGGTGAAGATATTTTGAGTTGTATATAAATAAAGAACTGTTTAGTGGATAAAAATGGTTTGATATTAGCCATTGTACACCACAGAGATCGGTGGTATGCTTAGTTCTTTTAATCTACTTAGACGCAGTAAACTAGTCACAGAAGTGCGGTGAGACGCTGGCCACATTTGCCTAATGGTGTGTACCGATGATTTGAGACATTTTATGTGTCAAGCTTATTTACTTATACACTTGTGAGTGCAAATTGTAATGGGGGATTTGTTGTTTAATACATTTTTGAAACGGGATTACGCTATGTGGCTTGTTTGTTTTCCTCCCTTTGAGCTTTAGTGACTGCTTAACCACTTCTGCGCCTCCCTATAGCAAAAATACTGCTACAGGGCGGCATGTTGTGCAAAATCACACGTATATATATATATATATATATATATATATACATACATGATTTTACAGTTCCGGGTGGGGGGGGACACTGCCTCGGCTGTCAATCACCGGGTCCCAGACGGTGATTCCCAAAGGATTTCCAATGGGGGAGAGACCTGTATGTAAACAATACACATCTCTTCCCTGTCAGCTCCTGCACTGCTTTATATGGCTCTGCATAGCAGAGCCATACAAAGTAGTGTTCTTACAGTGTAAAACACACGCACAGCCCATATAGTAAAACAGCACACAGTTAACTCTTTGATCATGCCACATGTTAACCTCTTCCTGCCCAGTGCCATTAGCAGTGTCAGTGCTTTTTATTAGCACTGATCACTGTATTGGTGTCACTGGGGATGTCAGTGACACCAAGTCAGTTCCCCCCCAGTGTCAGAATGCCTGCCGCAGTCCCGCTATAAGTCGCTGATTGTCGCCTTTACTAGTAAAAAAAAAATCCAGTATCTATACCGCCATTTGTAAACGCTATAACTTTCACATAAACTAATTAATTTACATGTATTGGGATTTTTTTTTTAGCAAACACATGGAGCAGAATACATTTTGGCATAAATTTATGACAAATTTTGATTTTTTTTTTTTTTTCCAAAATTGTCTTTTTTTGTTTATAGCGCAATAAAAAAAAACGCACAGGCAATCAAATACCACCGAAATAAAGCTATATTTGTGGGAAAAAAGGATTTAAATTTCATTTGGGTGCAGCATTGCATGACCGCACAATTGTCAGCTAAAGTAATGCAGCACCGTATCGCAAAAAATGGCCTGGTCAGGAAGGGGGGTAAATCCTCTGGAGGGCAAGATTATCCAGGGGATTACCTATTAAGGATCAAGGGACCATTGGACAATGATATTTCCGTGCTAGACAAGTACTTATATCTGGTGAGTGAGGTTTCTGGAGGCGAAAGTGGCTCACAGATCCCATTGTGGTACTTAGAATGGAACTTACGGAGAGGAAATGTATTTATAATGGACTTTGATTTATATATATATATATATATATATATATATATATATATATAAAAAGACATTCATCAGTGGACTGTTCTTCTGCTCTTTCACTCACTTTATTTCACCTGGTGATGGAGAGTATAGAAGATTATTAATTGCAATATTACCCAAATTTGCTGTACTTTATTGATTCATTAATTTTTAGGTGTTTGTACGCTGTCTTGTGTGAAGTTGCTATTTGCTACATACTCATGTTATTAATATGTTTACAACTTAATTAAGACAGCTGCCTAATGTGTGTTTTTATACGTTCACCACAATTCCAGAAGCGTGTAGTATTACTCTTGGAGTGATTATTTAGTATAATTTTAGGCTTTTTTTGGCAATGTTGTTCTATAAAAATTATTTTATTTTCCATGCAATCTATAGACAAGAAAGACATAGAAAAATCACCAGTGTTTAAAAATATGTTTTCCTGTATATAAAAAGTACATTTTACATTTTGTTTTTTAATTTGTCCCATTTAGTATGACACTAATATAATGTTACTGGTACGAAGCATATCTAAGTTACTATATCTGAAGAACATATATTTAAAAATATATTTTTAAAAATATATATTTTTTAAATATATTCTTCAGATTTTTTTTTAACATATAAAAAAGTCATTTTAAGATATATTTTTACATATATTTGTAAATGCATTCCAAAAATGTAGATTTGTATTTTTAAAGACATACAGTATATTTGAATATACAGTAAATATATATATATATATTTATTGAAATATATTTTGAAATATATTGAATATGGCCAAAATTGTAGCATTTCAAATATATGTCAATATATTTGGGAAGAATATTTTTTAAATATATTTCAAATATATTCTTCTTCCATATGGGACTGTTCAGTATGGGAGTACACAGTCTACAAAGAATGTATTGATTACTGTACCTTTGCAACAACAGCTTCAATATTAGCAGATGTAATACATTCATAGGTACTTGTGTTCCTCTCTCTGGAGTAGATAATAAGCTCACATTCATGTTTCTTCTGAAATTCTGCCTTTGTTGCAATTTCTAGGATGAAACACATTTAATATTAGCACACGAATGTTAAGAATCAAAGTGTATCTACCGTATAGCTGTAGTTGTCGTTATCTATGACGTTGTGCACAATGCGTTTTTTTGGAGTGATCCTTTTATTAGAATTTGCTGTTTGGATATGTTTGTACTAGAGCTGTGTACTTTTTCTGTCTTTAAAATTATAAAATGAAAATAAATTATACAAAAGTGTATCTATAACAATTTTTTTAAAATTTTGTATGGAACAGGGAATGGTTGAAACCAAAGTAAGTTTTTTTCTGTGTCCCAGTGTTCCAGAGACACAACAGGAATTGAGGGAACCATATAATTTTGGATATTCCCATCACTTTCTGATGATGTTCACTAAAACAGGCAGAGAGGATGAATCTGCCTAGTAGGAGTATAGCAATAAAAACCTGAAAGGGGATTCTATGCTTTCTCTACTATATCCAGAACCAAGCAAAAAAGTTTGGTCCAGAAATACTGTTTAATGTGCTAAACTTAAAATAACTTATGAACGGCACCTCTATGGTTACATACATAAATTTTCACTTTTATGTGACCAGCTCTTGCTAATCATTTGCTTAAAGCCCAATTGAATCCTTAGTTTATATCATTCAAATACATTTGCAATGCATAAAAACAAAAGGTGTGCAAAGTTAAGTTTTTTTTTTATTTTAAAAAAGCAGCCACAGCCTGATTAGAAAAATCTGCCCCTGCCAGCAGCTTCAGAATGGAACCCTTGATTTCTCTGGAGAAGCAGTCATTTCTTTACAAGGTCTGAAACACCCCCTACAGAGCCAGACCTATAGCTCTGAAATGAGCAAAGGTCATGCTCCCTGCTGATCGGAGAGCTTTGGCCTCTGCAAAGAGATCACCGCTTCTCACAGAGAGCAAAGATGCCACCAGGGGTGTAACTAGCTTTAGTCATGTGCCCCACATCTAGTGCTGGGTATCCCAATACCACCCATGAAAGCCCACCATTTTTTTCTATTCTGCTGCCTATCAGACGTGCATTCTTTACTCCTGCAATATTCACTCCTGATAGCTGTACTCTGTGTGTTACTTACGCTTGACCTAGAGAAAAGTAGGCTCAGGATTTATTTAACCATACCCCTTTAAGCCCCTGCCACTGTTAGTGAAAGTGCTATAGTGTTACACACACCACATCATTACTCTTCTTAGGGTGACCAATCCTAGTTATGCCCCTTGGGTCCCATGCTGCAGCTGCTGGCAAGGTTCAGGATTTCTATTCAGGCTGTGGCTGCATTAGAAAAATTGTAATTTAGAATTTTTAAACTAAAAGTTCAGCAGGGTTTTGCATTAGAGCCCCATATTTACCTCTACTGATCCCGTGTGATTTGTTTTCCACATGTTATTTACCTGGCTTACACATGTTGAAGTCAAAAGCTCCAGGACTGTTTATGAGTTTTTGAATGATAGGCTTTGCCATTGTGCAAGGTGCAAACAGGACTGGTCTCTTTTTGTCAATGTGGATAGGGTGTACCAAACTGTAGGGCACTAGGTTAAAATTTTTTCTTAAGTCATTATCAGGATCCAAATCTAGAAAAGAAAATCATATGACAAGAGATTTCGAGGTTAGAAAGATGTAAATAGTAATTTTGTTTTTTCAGGAAGGATGAGCTAAAGGCCATCAACTATTAACACGTAAACTTGAACACAAATGTCAGTTAACGCTGGAGAAATATGTATATATAAAATATGCTGTGCTAAATACAAATAAATCAATCCTATCTAGTATCTCAAATCATATGCTCTATACCCATACAGCTATTATAAATCATCAAATGCAATAATATATGACGACCCAGTTCACATATCGCGTTAGTCAAAACACAGCTTCCTACTAGTGATTTGTGAGTGCGATTCACACACAGAAATGCGTACCGCATATACGGCTGCCCTTTCAAGTGAATTGTTGATTGTCACTCCAAGGAAGCTCAGGGACCAAATTTTGGCTCTGAGCCAGGAGTGATCTTGCACTCGTGTTTTGCCTTGTGACAATCACTTTGCATGTTTTGCCGGAATTTGGAATCACGGGCAGAATCACACCAATTCTGCCCGCGATTCCAAATCACCCATTTGTGAATGGGACTTTAGAATACTTCCCCTCATAGGGCTTTTCTTCTTCAAATCATTCCAGTGGCTCATTCTCCCAATCAGGGAGCAAACACTGGTTTAGAGTACTCAGACCAAAGAAAGATTACCTGGTCATTTATGTTGATTTTAACTTATATCTTGCAGCAAGCCCTTCACTCTACTTTGTTATTGGCTTGTAACAGGGACAATTTATCAGCTAAAATGATGTGTAAACCTTGATCAGCCAGTCATTTTAGTATGAGGAATGCTTATCAGGAACATATTTACCATACTCAATTTTATCAAATGTTCAGTTTGTTGTACAGATTACACATGATATCGCCAAAAGTTAATGACAAAACACAATCCATACCATCTTGTCTGTCTAATAAAAGTTTCATGGTCTCCAAGGATGGTGAGTTAGAGGACACCACGCGCAGACGTTCATTACTGTTCATCCTTTTATATTTGTTATCAGACCGATAAACAAACTGGAAAGACAAATGTGGCATGTAATGATGATATTCCCTTTCAGTACTTTAACATAAGGTAGACAGACATTGCCCACTGTGTAGCTTAGAAAATGCTTAATTAAAAAAAATGCTTCCCAATGATTCGTGCAGATGAAGAAATCTGTGATGGTACCAGGGGCGGACTGACAACTCATGGGGCCCCTGGGCAATAGGGGATCATGGGGCCCCTATGTCCTTGCCCACACTCAAAAAAGCCTATAAAAAAGGTACCAGGGGCATTTCATGGGGCCCTTACTGACCCTGGGCCCTCGGGCAGTGCCCGAGTGCTCGAATGGTCAGTCCACCCCTGGATGGTACGCATTATGGTTATCCAGTAATAGGTGACACCTGGAGCTAGTCATGAGGTGACCATCTGGGAGTTTTTTTTACCACAAACTTTAGGCTGCAACAAGGTTCTTCAATAATAGATGACCAAAAAAGGTGCACAAAATAAGTTCCAGTGTTTTATGAAACCTGTGATGTGCAAATAAGGGCTGTGGCATGACATAAGTAATTTTTGTGGCAACCTATTTCAGCTAGATTGGTGCAGCAGTCAAAATATGGCCTGGGCAAAGTATATAACCAAGTTCTAGATTGTACCCTTGGGCCTCAAATTATCAAGACAGAACTTCACCCTGATTATTAATTCCTCCCAGGTGAAAAGTTAAGATGAAGCAATACCTCGGAAAAACAAAGCCAAGAGGGTGTGACTGGGTTAAGCCTCTATGCTGAAGAAATAGTTTCTGAATGTTTTCTCAAAAGCTTGCTAATCTAGTGGTCAAATCGAGGTCCACATGAAGGCCCTGCACAAAAGTGATGCATCTCAGAAAAGGCAATTGTGTCTTTTCAAATATACAGTTTCTCTAGTTTGGCATACAGTCCATGAAACTGACCAATGCAGGATCCTAATATCACTTGCAGAGAGTTTTGGGGTGAGAAGAAAAGATTAAGATATCTTCATTGTACACCATCAAAACACATGTAGGTCAAGGTATTCACAGTAATGATACATAATCATGTACTAAGTGAAAAAAGAATGACCATGAATCCTCAGAACCCATAACTCTTGACTGATATACAGAAAAGAAAAAAAAATCTTAAAACAAACTACATCTTTATAGATGGGAACTACCAGCATATGCTTTGTTATAATCATGTAAGTGTTCATAAGCAAAAACATAAATAACTAAAATTATTGTGCAGCACCGCAACAATTGTATATTATGGAAATAATACTGTAGAACTATTTGAAAAATGTACCGGAAATATTTGTCCAAAAAGGAAACTTGCTCTTGAAAGGCGAGGACTGCTCTTGGAATCCATTTGTGGTGACTCTTCTGGCTGAAGGGCGTTCTGCAATAAATAGTGAAATATTACAGATTACATAGTTACATTGTTAAACTGGTTGGAAATAAAGACACAGGTCCATCTAGTTCAATCAATAAAAAGGAAAAAAAAATGTATACAATCCTATATACCTAATCCTATTCCCACAGTTGATCCAGAAGAAGGCACAAAACCCAAACAAAGCATGATCCAATTTGCTCCAGCAGGGGAAAAAGCTCCTTCCTGATCCCCCGAGAGGCAATCAGATATTCCCTGAATCAACTTTACCTATACATATTAGCATCCAGTTATATTGTGTACCTTGTACATTTAGGAAATAATCCAGATCTTTTTAAAAACAATCTGCTGAGCTGGCCAGAACCAGCTCTTGAGGGAGTTGATCCCACATTTTCACAGCTCTTACTGTGAAGAAGCCTTTCCGTCTCTTTTCCTCCAGACATAGAGTACCCCCTTGTCCTCTGTGATGACCTTAAAGTGATTAGTTCTACACCTAGTTCACTATATGGACCACCTATGTATTTATACATGTTGATCATAGCCCCGCTTAATCTACTCTTCTCAAGAGAGAATAAATTCAGTTCCTATAATAATTCCTCATAGCTGAGCTCCTTCATGCCTCTTATCAGTTTGGTTGCCCTTCTCTTCATTTTCTCCAGTTCTCCGATATCCTTTTTATGAATTGGTGCCGAAAACTGAACTGAATATTCCACAGAAGATCATACTAATGATTTTACAGGGGTAAAATGATGTCTGTCTTTCTCTCTGGAGTCTATACCTCTCTTAACCACTTGCCCTCCTGAGGATTTACCCCCCTTCCTGACCAGGCCATTTTATGCGTTACAGCGCTGCATTAGTTTAGCTGACGATTGTGCGGTCATGCAACGCTGCATCCAAATGAAATTTATGTCCTTTTTTCTCACAAATAGAGCTTTCTTTTGAAGGTATTTGATCACCTGTGCATTTTTATTTTTTGCACTATAAAAAAAAATGACAATTTTGAGAAAAAAAACAATATTTTTTACTTTTTGCTATTAAACATGTCCAGTAAAAAAATGAAAAAAATTAAATGTCATCATAAATTTAGGGAAAAATGTATTCTGCTACATGTCTTTGCTAAAAAAAATCCCAATACGTGTAAATTGGTGTATGTGAATGTTATAGCGTCTACAAATTGCGCTGTAGATACTGGAATTTTTTTTTCACTAGTAATAACGGCGATCAGCGACTTATAGCGGGACTGCAGGACTATGGCAGGCATTCTGACACTGGGGAGAACTGACTTGGTGTCACTGACACCAATACAGTGATCAGTGCTAATAAAAAGCACTAACACTGTACTAATGGCACTGGGCAGGAAGGGATTAACATGTAGGGCGATCAAAGGGTTAACTGTGTGCTGTGTGCTGTTTCACAGTGAGCTGTGTCTGTGCCTTCAACTGTAAGCACACTGCTTTGTATGGCTCTGCTATGCAGAGCCATACAAAGCAGTGTGCTGGAGCTGACAGGGAAGAGAACTGTATTGTATACATATAAAATAAACTTATATATAAAATCTATATATAAAATCGAGCGCAGTGTATAGGTGTAAGTACGGTAGCTGCTTGCACAAAAAGGCACCTCGGGAACCTCCAAAGTAATTGATAAAGAATGAGAGTGCAGCGCTAACCCAAATAGCGATTAAACATATGATAGACCACATATGATAGTGGATCAGTAAAATGTCAGTGTAAGTTCATCAGATGTGCTGAAAATGCATACAGTCTCCAATATGTAAAGAACCAAAAGTAGTGACTTTCAGAAATGATAATAGCCAAATAATGCACTAACCAGATAACGCATATTAAAGCGCATGGAGCATTTAAGACCTGCCCCTGGTGCTCAGCCACTGTATCACTGGAGCCAGGAGATGTCATCTATAGGGTGACCACTAGATGTCATCTATCCGGATGGAAGCTGAGTCCAGCCACTGTATTAGAGGATCAGGCGGATGTCATCTATAGGGCGACCACTAGATGTCATCCGTTCCAGGAGGAGATGATGTGTACTCACACGATACGCGTTAGGGAAGTGCCAAGCTATTTATATCCTGTGTACATGTACCTCTGGTCTGGCCGTTTATGAGCAGCTGAACCGTTGTTAGTCCTGGGGCTGTGCTTAGCAAAGGACACATCTGCAAGTGACATCCCTGGATCCATGACACAGCTCCTCCTGGAACGGATGACATCTAGTGGTCGCCCTATAGATGACATCCGCCTGATCCTCTAATACAGTGGCTGGACTCAGCTTCCATCCGGATAGATGACATCTAGTGGTCACCCTATAGATGACATCTCCTGGCTCCAGTGATACAGTGGCTGAGCACCAGGGGCAGGTCTTAAATGCTCCATGCGCTTTAATATGCGCTATCTGGTTAGTGCATTATTTGGCTATTATCATTTCTGAAAGTCACTACTTTTGGTTCTTTACATATTGGAGACTGTATGCATTTTCAGCACATCTGATGAACTTACACTGACATTTTACTGATCCACTATCATATGTGGTCTATCATATGTTTAATCGCTATTTGGGTTAGCGCTGCACTCTCATTCTTTATCAATGTATTGTATACATACAGTTCTCTCCCCCATTGGTAATACTCGGCGAGTAATCACCGGCTGGGACCCGACCACACCCTACCTGGAAATGCAAAATCACATATAAATACGTGATTTTGCGCACCTCTGCCGCCCTGGAGCAGTATTTCTGTACCCCCCTAGTATGTACAGTCATGGCCGAAATTGTTGGCACCCTTGATATTTCTCCAGGAAATCATGTATTTCTCACGAAACGTATTGCATTAACACATGTTTTGCTATACACATGTTTATTCCCTTGTGTGTATTGGGACAAAACAAAAAAAGGGAGGAAAGAAAGCAAATTCGACATAATGTCACACAAACCTCCAAAAATGGGCTGGACAAAAGTATTGGCACCCTTTCACAACTGCGGATAAATAAGAATGTTACAAGCATGTGATGCTCCTGTAAACTCACCTGGGGCAAGTAACAGGTGTGGGCAATATAGAAATCACACCTGAAAGCAGATAAAAAGGAGAGGTTCACTTAACCTTTGCATTGTGTGTCTGTCTGTGCCACACTAAGCATGGACAACAGAAAGAGGAGACGAGAACTGTCTGAGGACCTGAGAACCAAAATTGTGGCAAAATATCAACAATCTCAAGGTTACAAGTCCATCTCCAGAGAACTAGATTTGCCTTTGTCCACAGTGCGCAACATTATCAAGAAGTTTGCAACCCATGGCACTGTAGCTAATCTCCCTGGTCGTGGACGGATGAGGAAAATTGATGAAAGATTGCAACGCAGAATAGTCCGGATGGTGGATAAGCAGCCCCAAACATGTTCCAAAGACATTCAAGCTGTCCTGCAGGCTCAGGGAGCATCAGTGTCAGCGCGAACTATCCGTCGACATTTAAATGAAATGAAACGCTATGGCAGGAGACCCAGGAGGACCCCACTGCTGACACAGAGACATAAAAAAGCAAGACTACAGTTTGCCAAAATGTACTTGAGTAAGCCAAAAGCCTTCTGGGAAAACGTCTTGTGGACAGATGAGACCAAGATAGAGCTTTTCGGTAAAGCACATCATTCTACTGTTTACCGAAAACGGAATGAGGCCTACAAAGAACAAAACACAGTACCTACGGTAAAATATGGTGGAGGTTCAATGATGTTTTGGGGTTGTTTTGCTGCCTCTGGCACTGGGTGCCTTGACTGTGTGCAAGGCATCATGAAATCTGAGGATTACCAAAGGATTTTGGGTCGCACTGTAGGGCCCAGTGTCAGAAAGCTGGGTTTGCGTCCAAGATCCTGGGTCTTCCAGCAGGACAATGACCCCAAACATACGTCAAAAAGCACTCAGAAATGGATGGCAAAGAAGCGCTGGAGAGTTCTGAAGTGGCCAGCAATGAGCCCAGATCTAAATCCCATTGAACACCTGTGGAGAGATCTTAAAATTGCTGTTGGGAAAAGGTGTCCTTCCAATAAGAGAGACCTGGAGCTGTTTGCAAAGGAAGAGTGGTCCAAAATTCCGGGTGAAGGTGTCAGAAGCTTATTGATGGTTATAGGAAGCGACTGATTTCAGTTATGTTTTCCAAAGGGTGTGCAACCAAATATTAAGTTAAGGGTGCCAATACTTTTGTCCAGCCCATTTTTGGGGTTTTGTGTGACATTATGTCATATTTGCTTTTCTGCCTCTGTTTTATATTTGTTCCAATACATACAAAGGGAATAAACATGTGTATAGCAAAACATGTGTTAATGCAATACCTTTTTTGTGTGAAATACTTGATTTTCAGGAAAAATATCAAGGGTGCCAACAATTTCGGCCATGACTGTATGATGCATGCATATTCTTAACCCCCAAGTGCATAACCTTACATTTATCAACATTAAACCTAATTTGACACATAGTTGTCCAATTAAACAGAGCATTGAGGTCGGCTTGTAAGTTGAAGACATCCTGATGGGAAAAACAAAGGGAAAGAATACAGAAATGTAAAAACGTTTTGAACATGTGGTCACATCACACAGTAAGAGGTAAGAGGTTGTTTATAAAGAGGGATATAGTTTTGCTTGTACAGTGAGGTCCAACACTTTGTTAGCAGAAAGGACCTCTGTCCTTTTAACCTTAACATCTCTAGACCACCTTGCCTCCTTCTGAACTAACCTGCACTAACACCCCCAATCCAAGTTTTCACTTACCTCTGTAAGTGCCTACACTCTGAACTCCTATAAACCTAGGAGACAGATCCTGTACCCAGGATGCCCCCATAAAATACTATGAGGACTAAAACATGCCGGATTTTTGTTAGAAAAGGGTTTTCTGTAAACTTTAGATAGGAGATGGTTCAGTTACAGAGGTTACTAGGAACAGTATTGCCAACTTCCATTTTTGATGACAAAACATGGAAAATTTACTGACAAAGCACAAAAACAATCAATATT